AACAACATCAAGAGGTTCACTGTTTACTATCTACCTTAAATACTTCATGCAACACAGTGAAATCTTACGGAGAAACTCAAAGACAATATAAGCCGCGAAGAATGTAGGTTAATAGGTAATATACGGGAGTTTACAAGTAAAATTAAGTGTTGGGTAATATCGAAAATACGTATCTTCTTGATATAATGAATTATATGAAAAACGCATCATGATAAAATCAAGAAATGCTAAAAGGTATGACCAACACCAACATTACACTTGAAATGATTTTATCATGGAGTCTTTGATAAAACAAAAGTCAGGTGACTCAACCAAAGTGGTTACATTATTTTCATGTTTTAGGCTGAGGTAAATTGTTTAGTACGTAAAAGAATTGGGTGTAAAACCTGTGAAAATAGAATTTTGTTAAATATGCCTTAAGAACTGATTCATATCAAAGCAATTATAAGTGGGAGAAACTGATATACGTAGAATAGAATCATCATGATATCTAACATAAGTGCTTTTAGTAGAGGATAAAAAATCGTCCAAAAAAGGAGAAAAATAAAGGCTTAAAGTACAGTTTTTTGTTGTACATCAGCTTAAGTTAGTAAAAAAGTAAATTAATTTCCTTCAAGTACAGTATCCTCTTCTCTTACAGAGAAGTAAGAATACAGTCAGTTGGTTATCCATCTCCCAGTCTTAATGTTGACAAAATTGCTGAATAACAGTGGTCACGCAAAACAATAAAAAGGACAAAAATATAGTTCAGAAATGAGTAGAATTTTTTCCAAAAAATTGGTATAGTGAACATTTCTGACTGTTCTTCACTTGATTTTACTGTCAAATATATCAGGAAAACTCCCACAGTGGTTATGGATATCAAAGTGAAGAAATTAAAACCTTTTGAATATTTAAATTCACTTGGTATTGCTTGTTTGAATCTTCCCATTGATGTTTAGGGCTGCAATTGATCAGTCTCTCACTAGCATATGTGCATACTGTGCGTATTGCCTCGATATAGACTTAATTCACAAGCATTATAAGCAAAGATGGATAGTGGCTAGCAGTGGAATTCAGGACACGCGTTTCGTTCTATTTGGGACTCTTCAGCCTTAACTTCATTGCACAAGCAAGTGGCTATCAAGACTCAGTAGTTAAGTGGATAACGCGAAGGCGTTTGAAGCGAACGGTGCTAGGTTCAAATCTCAGAGTGGACATCACCTCTGAGATGCAGGTACATCCAGCTGACGAGTCACAAATAGGACGAAACGCGCGTGAAATTGGATTCCACTGCTAGCCACTATTCATCTTTGCTTATATCTAACACTGTTTGAATTTCCATTACAGTTTCAATTAATAACTCATCTTTATTGATTCACATCTTCCGAATTTCCTCTCTCTGGATATGTTTACTTAAAATTTGAATCATTACATTTTCATTCTAGATCCTTTGTTGACAATGTTTAAACTAATTGAATGGTAAACTGAATGAAATGACCTATGTAGTAGAAAATTTACATTGCATAAAAATTGTTATCTTGGTATTTAAAAAAAATTAATCTCACCAATCGAACAAACTTACTTTATTCACATTAGTTTAATTTATTTATCTTGGCTTAAAGTTCTATTTTTATTCGATCAATTTAAAAATGGAACATTATAACAATTTAATAAACTAATAATAATAGTAATAATAATATAATCCTTGCCAAAAAGTTTTTTTGGTGCTGATAAAAATGACTTGTACCAAATGGGTATTGATTGATGAATAAAATTTAGGTCAATAAATTCTTTATCAGAAGGGGGTTTTGTGGAGATTTTAGTAATTTTATGTAGTTGAGATCATAAGTCAATTGAAGCTAGACCACCATGGAAAACCTGGAAGCACTGCTAGACGGCCGTTTCGTCCTATTATGGGACTCCTCAGCAGTGTGTATCCACGATCCCGCCATCCAGTGCTCTCAGGTTTTCCCATGGTTGTCTAGCTTCAATTGACTCATGATCTCAACTATATACAATAAATTCATTGTTAACATTTTCTGATAAGTCTGAAATGAATTAAATTTCATGGGTAAAACATAATGTCTATATAGGGTTTCTTTTTGACATATTACTTATTATAAATATTATTTTTGTTATGATTGATAAAAATTCTATACACATTAGCTTGATGACTTGAGTTTATATTAATCATCTACTTATTGTTAATTAAGAATGACCTAAATAGATTCAAATCATCAGTACAAGGTAGTGAAAATTGTTAGATTTCATTGAAATAATGAATCGATCTAAGTTGGACAACTACTGAAAGCTTGTAAGCATTGAACTCTTATTTCTTCCTTGTATGGGACTCTTCAATATATATATATATATATATATATATATATATATATATATATATATATATTGTGAGCAGTGATTTCCTAGTATTGGAGAGTTCATATTAGAACTTATTAGCTACATTTTCAGATGTTATCTCGGGTAACCCTGATGAAACTGAAGGTCATTTCCTGTTAACTGTCTACACTAATACTATGACCAGTTAATTTAGGTCTTGGTTAATTCTAGACACATTATAAACAATTCAACTATAGAAAATAACCCAATAAATATGTTGAAGTGATAGCAGTGATTCAGTATATTCAATATTCTATAAACCAGAATTAAGAAAAACATTTAATCAGAAGGGGTTTTGTGGAGATTTCAGGATTTTCATAGTTGAAATCATGAATCAGTTGAAGCTAGACCACTATGAAAAACCTGGAAGCACTACTTGACGGCCGTTTCGTCTTATTATGGGACTCTTCAGCAATGCGCATTCACGATCCCGCACTCGCGAGATTAGAACCCAGGATCTACTAGTCTCGCGCCAGAGCACTTAACATTTAATGTTTATTTTATGGCATTTTGTCAATAAGATTACTAATTATCACATTCCATAAATGAGAGATTTGAGCTTCATTTACAATCTACTAACTTGTTACATTTAAACTTGGCTTGTATCTAATGCATTGAGTACTTTATATTTATTTGCCATACTTTTTGATTTTGAGCGTCCAGTTACATTGTTAGTCATTTAACCGACGACACACTGTGAATATTAAATATACACACATTTAAAATGTATTCACTTTCATCATGGACATTCACCACTAGGTACCAAGAGGCTTTTCTGTGAAAATTTTAAATAGTTTAATAAACGATATCACATTGTTGCCAGGTTGTTTTTGCAAACTCATTAATAGGTCAGTGTTATAAACATATTTAGGATCTAATACCCTTCTCATATTGAGTTGTACTTGAAATACAACATCGACCGAACTAGGAACAAGTACTGTTTATTGATTTACGTCGATAGTACACTGACCAACAGAAAAAAGGCATTTTGTGTGTTCTTGCATTTAAACAGTCATCTTTACGAATTATGGAATAAACAGACTCTTCCCAATTATTCCAAAAGTTCCCAAGCTCTCTCATAAGTATCATCTGCAGAGTTATCCATTACATGATTGCCAATTGACAGAGCTTTCTGATATTCACGACGAAAACTCAAAACCACCATGTTAAACTTGATTGGCTCAACAATATAGAGTACATGCAATGCCAGTGTAAATATAAAGCGAAGTTGAAATTTCGGAACAGCCCCTTGTGAAGCTATTGTATAATTACTAAATGCTTCGACTAAAATATTCTTGTATTCCCCTACTTTTAAGATTTTGGTTGATACAGAAATAATTGTCGTTTGTTTTATCTTTCTCAAATCATTGTTAATTTATCACGAACCTTTCACTCAGTCCTCTTCCACTTATAGCATAGTTATGCAAATACTATGATCTCTTAATTCTATTGATGTGTGGTCAGAATTCTTCTCTATATTGTTTTATGAGTGAGTGATAAATTCGAACTGTATGATTAGTTGCTTGGTTGCTGATCTATTTTCTTTTCAGTTTATCGAGAGAGCGAGTGAGTATAGGGAACTGGATTCTGAACCAATAGTCACTGATTGATACTCTCAGCTCTTATCTCACATTTATCGTGTCTTGGTACTAGATAGACAGCCTAGGAGAACTAATAAATACAACTTCTCTCTTGTCTTTGGTCAAATCTCACAGAATCTAAATAAACGAGAAAAATTGTTTATTTTCACAGACATATCAGTACCTTAACCCTATCTCCTCTTGACATGATTACTATGTTAATACTGAACTATTTACATAGTAAAATTTAGTCTCTTGCTAGTTTCATTATAAAATGGTTTAGGTATTTTAAATTCACAAATTGTTTTTATCATTAATTAATTAATTAATGTAGTCCACCGAACTTAGTGAATTTGTCTCATTCTAGGATCCCTCTGTAAGCAGTTAGTTTTCATTTGCAATCGATACCTAGTTAATAGTATTGTGTGATGTGTCGGGAAACTTTCCATAATTCCGTCTTACGACACATTAAACTCAGCTACAGATCGATTTGAGAAGTTTCCTATCCAATAGCTATGTTCAAGCATTAGTTTTTTACTATGAAAATACATTTATTTGTAACATTTTCCATCCATTTTCCTACTCTGTTGGTCAATGGGACATCACCTGTCATCCTAACGCCCACCGAAATTGTCCAATCAGATTCATGTGTATTTTTTGGGGAAATAATATAAATCTACCATTTGTCCTATCATGTCGAAATATAGACCAATTGGCTATTTCAATTTTTAGACTAACCAACTAACTATAGTTTCATTGTGATATTATTGACACATCAGTTCAGTCAAAATTCGGATGAAAATTGTTTCTATCTCAATTTCATAGCTAAGTCACATTGTGGCCAAGGCCATTGACTTTTTTATCTGTGATTGGACATAGTGCACGTGAAATTCATCTGCCTACGTTTAATCGATTCTTCATGTTTTGTTGCTAACCTACACAGTCCAAGCTTTTTTTTCCATAATTTTAATATATTCAAAACATTTGTATTTACCATAGGGTAATCATTGTAACTAAATTCATTCAATCAATTTTTTACAGCTTGAAGAATTGGAAGTTGTATGCTCAAAACAAACTGTATCTCTTTATTGTTTATCATCTAAATGTAAAAAATCCCAAAGTATATCATCAAATGTAAATCATAGTCATCATAGTGGATCAGATCAATCAGCATTGTATACAACAAATTCAGATTTAACAATTAGTATGACTGAATCAGATCAACTTAATAGTCAATCATTATTAGTTGATGTAAAACAACAAACTATACCGAAAACATTAACAACTTATTCTATATTTTCAAATCCAACTGAAGAATATGAAAATCGAACAAGCTTATTAAATAAACTACTTGGAGAATTAAGTCTGTTATCCCAAATCATTCTAAATTTAGAAGATAATCATGATGAATCGTTATGTAATTGTGATATTCATGAATTATGCAAATGTATCTTACAAGATTTAACAGGATTACATAATGATGAAGAAGATGAAGAGGATATATGTGATCAAGAATTGGTATTGCCACCATCTCCACTATCAACAGCACAACATAAAGAGCAAATACATATGGTATGTTGTTTGAATAACTTAAGTATGTATGATAAGAACAAAATAAATTGTTGAAGATTTTGAATCTGGTGTCGATTGAAGTTAGGCAAACATATTGAAGACCTGGGAGCACCGGGCTAGTGTTTTTTCTTAATATCTGGCTTGCCAAAATTGTCCATCTAATCCTCTCTGTCAGAGATCAAGAATGAGACTTTCGTTCATAACGGACACTATTGATTAGTCCCGTACTAGGATGAAATAGCTGTTCAGCGCTTCCAGGTTTTCAATTGTTGTTTAACATAGATTGGTTTGTGAATTCGACACCATTCAACTATCTCCGCAACCCCCATACTATGACTATTGTTTCACACGATTTAAGCCGTTCATTTTCTATTTCCAGCTCTCATTGATATATATAGATACATCCCATTAAACTTATGGGGTGCAGTTTATAATAACTTTCGGCGAGACTACACTTTATGGACGACCTTTGAACGAGTCTCAAATGACCTTGAGAAATATTAGACAATCAGGAGACAGTTAGTATACAGTAAAAATATAATATAGAAAACTAAAAAATTAAAGCCGATACTGTTCTTTTACATGGCTCGAAAACTTCTCAAGGTCAGATATAGGTTCAGAAGTTCTAAAATCATAGTGCATACGGTACAGGAACACATCCATATGGTTCCATAGTAGTCGACCTCTGAAACCATGATAAGGTCCCAAAAATGGTAGGATTAAACTATACTGCCGACCTTTGAACGAATCTTAAATGACCTTGAAGAATATTAGCAAATCAGAAGACAGTTTGTATACAGTAAAAATTTATTATACAAAACCAAAGAATTAAAGTGGAAACACTTCTTTTTCATGAGTCAAAAACTTCTGAAGGTCAGATATAGGTTCAGAAGTTCTAAAATCATGGCGCATACGGTACAGGAGCACATCCATATGGCTTCATAGTAGTCGACCTCTGAAACCATGATAAGGTCTCAAAAATCCCTTTAGCCTCGACCACATAGCTTCAATAATGTCAGTATATTGGTATGGTTTACGATTTAGGGTTAGAGTTAAGGTTTCGGGTTAAGGGTGAGACTAAAATTTATGAATGTCTTTTGAGCGACGCTAGAGTGACTCTGAGAGTGTCAAATAATAATCAAGACCAAATGAGGGTTATAAACCTGTAAGAAGAATTCAAATGATGATTTACAGTTCATGGTTAAGGTTAGCAATTATACTTAGGGTTTTCATCACGAACTGACATCAGCTATAATGCCAAAAATCTATTTATTCAAATGGGTAATTGAATTTCGCGCCAAAATCTTAATAATCACTTTTCTTGTAGACGCTGAATTATCACGTCTTCCCTAAAAACCGCTGTAAAGCGATCGTACGTAAGCATCAGGTACCGAACCTAGCGCCGTGACCTTGAAAACCCGCGAAAGCTTCTGATTGATTCGGCAGCATAGTTTAATCCTACCCCAAAAATTCTTTTAGCCTCGACCACATACCTTCAATAATGTTAGTATATTGGTATGTTTTACGGGTTAGGGTTAGAGTTAAGGTTTAGGTGAAAAGTTTAGGGTTATGGGTGAGACTATAAGTTATGGACAACCTTTGAGCGACGCTAGAGTGACTCTGAGAGTGTCAGCATAATAACTAAGACTAAATGAGGGTTATAAACCTGTATGAAGAATTCAAATTATGATTTACAGTTCATGGTTAAGGTTAGCAATTATACTTAGGGTTTTCATCACGAACTGACATCAGCTATAATGCCAAAACTATTTATCCAAATGGATAATTGAATTTCGCGCCAAAATCTTAATAATCACTTTTCTTGTAGACGCTGAATTATCACGTCTTCTCTAAAATCCGTATTAAACCGACCATACGTAAACATCAGGTACCGAACTTAGCGCCGTGACCCTGAAAACCAACGAAAGCTTCTGATTAGCTCGTCCATAAAGTTTAGTCTCGCCTCTCAGTATTACGAGATTCGGTTGGAAAAATTAATAGACTAAATATTTTAATGATATCGGAAGTCGATTACTACGCACAAGGTTATATATTGTAACGGATTTAATAAATACACAGAACATTAATCATATATAATAGCGTATCTTTCTGTGGATGTCTTAATTATCGTCGGAAAATTTGTCAGCAACGTTAATTAATTCCGCAGTTTTAAAAATCGTTCTAACGAATGAGACAGTTGATTTTTCATTACTTTAATTGAGTTAAAAGTTCATAAATAACAGGTTTCTTTTTTACCAAACCATTGTCCAGACTAAGCACATAAACCACTTGGTGGGTATGTTAATCGTTCGTTATATAATGAAAATTAAAAAATTACACAGTTGTAGATAGGTTTGTACACTAGATAATGGCATAGAACCATTATTCAAAGGTTTGGCATGAAACTTATCTGTCCAAAACTTAGTAGGTGCACACGTTTTAGAATTCTTCACTCGACTATTAAAATCCAGATGTATCCAGTGGTAAGTTACAACTCTATTCATTCCTATATGTTTGTTTTGACTCAGTAGTATAAATTTTAACGGTAAGGTTGTAATATACAACCAAGTTAATGGTGAATGTGGAAACTTCGCCAAGGTCATCTAGCATGTATCAGAGTAAGGTTTGAAATCACAGTTGGAATTTGATAATAAGAACTAGAATTAAAGTCGTCATCGTAAACTAATATCAGCTGTCATGCTAAGATCAGAAAATTTATTATTCAAGTCTTAGCATAATAAACCATGAATTTATCTTTGATTTGTGATTGGTTTAGTGAATGAGGATCTCAAGGTCGTTCGTCTTTCTTAAGTTTAATATTTAGTTTAAGTAAATACGATTATCTTAGCACAATATAAAATTAGTGACTATACATCATTTTAATATGATCACTTTCAATGTAATAAACACTTGTAACAAATTGAATATTTCTTAAAGTATTTATTCTCAAAACTTTATCACTTATTCATATTCAACGACTTATGTGTACTTACTTACGCCTGTTACCCCTCGTGGAGGAGCATAGGCTGCACATCAGCATTCTCCATCCAACCCTGTCCTGGACAATCCTTTCCAGTTCTTCCCAGCTGTTATTCATCCTTTTCATATCTGCTTCTATTTCCCGGCGTAATGTTTTCTTCGGCCTTCCTCTTTTCCACTTCCCTTCCGGATTCCAAGTTAGGGATTGCCTCGTGATGCAGTTTGGTGATTTCCTTAATGTATGTCCTATCCACTTCCAACGTCTTTTCTTAATTTCCTCTTCAGCTGGAAGCTGGTTTGTCCTCTCCTGTAAAACGCTGTTGCTGATAGTATTCAGCCAGTGAATGTTGATTATTTTGCGTAAACAACTATTTATAAATACTTGTATCTTCTTGACGATGGTTTTAGTAGTTCTCCATGTTTTGGCTTTGTACAGTAGGATTGTCTTGACGTTCGTATTGAAAGTTCTCACTTCGAAGTTAGTTGACAGTAGTTTTGAGTTCCATATGTTCTTCAACTGTGGAAATGCTGCCTTTGCTTTGTTTAAAAGACATGTTTCATTCATAATGTTGTTTATTGTATTCTATTCAATACGTCATTATTTCACTAACAAAATTAAACCTCTTTTATGTATGTAAGGATTGTATTTCAATATGGTCTTTACTAAATAAACAGTACTATATAATCTTGAATAAATTGAGCATTGGGTAGATTGTTATAAATAAATTATATATTTGTAATATCCCAATGAGTAGAAAAATTAGATTTTCTGACGTTTTCTGACATATGCTTTATCTAAATATCTAAGCAACATATTAAAACCACTACAGCTTAACGTACATAATATGATTAAAGATACATATGACTTTAAATCAAAATTATCGGATTTAATTATTGAAAAGAATGAAGTCATGGTAAGCTTTGATGTTGTATCGTTATATACTAGTATTCCGATTGATATATGCTTAGAATTCATTAGTGGCTTACTAGAGAATGACATTACTCTATCGGACAGATGTCCTTTAAGCATCAGTTTAATCATGAGATCGTTAAAACTCTGCTTAAATTCAACTCTATTCACCTTCAACGGAACGTTATATAGACAAACAAATGGTGTAGCAATGGGTTCTCCCGTGTCCCCGATTGTGGCCAATCTTTTTATGACACACATAGAATCAAAGATTTTCTCCAACGAAATTAAACCACGAATTTGGCTCAGATATGTAGATGACACATTTGTAGTAATAAAAAAGACGCATCTGAGATCGTTTTCAAAACTGTTAAATACACTTTCATCTCACATCAAATTCACGAATGAGAATGAAAATGAACATGGAGAGCTACCGTTCTTAGATTGCTTAGTGAAAAGAAATATAAATGGAGTTCTAAATTTATCCATCTACCGAAAGCCCTCACACTCCAATCGTTACATCGACTTTCATTCAGCACATCCTTTCAGTGCTAAAATTTCGTTAGCCTTAAATCTTGTTAGAAGAGCCAACAAGATCATCTCTTCAGAAGAGGACAAACAAAAAGAACAAAAGAATATAATTAGCATCTTAAAATTTAATAATTTTCCTATGAAGATTATTAGAAGTATATTAAAACAAGACAATTCAATACACAATAATAATAATAATTCGAACGAAATACCATGGATTGGTACTGCAGTCTTACCATACCGTCATGGCACAACTGAAGAACTCCAACGGATATTAAGACAACACAGAATTAAAGTATATTACAAAACAACTAACACACTTCGAAATACTTTAGTTCGATTAAAAGAAAAAATACCATTCATGTCTACACAGAACTGCGTCTACAAATTAGGTTGTGTCGATTGTGATGCCTTCTATATTGGAGAGTCATCTCGCGAAATCTTAACTCGCGCTAAAGAACATATCAGGTACACAAAGAAACCGCCTAATAATCCTGTAGAATTAGATAGACTTCAGATTAAATCGGCAATAGCAGTTCACGCCATTTTCAACAGTCATCAAATTGATTTCAAAAATATCAAAATACTACAGAAAGGTTTTTCTAACTACAAAGAAAGAAGAGTAGCAGAAGCTTTCCATATAATGCTTAATCCTACTGCCCTCAATAGAAAAGAAGGCCTTACCATACATCCCGCTTGGACTATCTATCCTAGTCAACCAGTCTAATATTATTTACAATCTCACACCATTACATTACAAATCAAACTCTATCCTTTGTCATTACAAAGGTCACACATTTTTCGTCATTAACAATGCACACATACACACAAAATTACATACATATCCCTTATGAATCACTTTGACCGAAATGAAATGACGTGACAGTGATTTATTCAGACCTGTTTTTGATTGATCACCTAATATTCTTTGATTGCTCCGTTGTACTATTTAAACTTGGATTAATATTAATTTGGTTATTTATTCTCTGAAGAAGTGGCTTACACTGAGTCACGAAACGTCAGAAAATCTAATTTTTCTACTCATTGGGATATTACAAATATATAATTTATTTAGTACTATATAATCGTTAGGATTATTTCGTCATGTGACCAAGATGTTTTCACGGTATATTTCAATATTTCATGAATTTCATTCATATGATTATTACCATCTTAGATCCAATGTCATATTAGAAGTATCTCTCATTTCACTGTATATTGGACCCATTAAAACAAAACACTATAGTTTCAATATTCACATGAATTCTAGCCATTTCAAAGAAACGTTTCATCCTTATTTAAAAGAGGGTACAGAAAATAATAGTACTAGATCAGTTTTATTCTTTGACCTACGCTTTTAGTTCAAGATAAGTAAAGATAATTGGTTGCTTTGAATGATAAATAAAAGGGAATTTCAACGTGCAACTTACTGGAGTGAGACTATAATTTATGGACGACCTTAAAGTGACGCTAAAGTGACCAAGAGAATGTCCACCTACTAACTACGACAAAATGAGGGTTATAAACCAGTGTGTATGATTTACAGATGTTGGTTAGGGTTAGAAATTAGATTCAGTGTTTTCATCACGAACTGATATTAGCTATAATGCCAAAACGCTATTCGACCGAATGGATGAGTAAATTTCGTGCCAAAATTCAAGACCTGCTATCTTAAATAATTTTGGTTTGTCTATGAATTATAGTCTCGCTGTATAATCAAACGGTTTATGAATTTCGATATTGGTGAATGCTATGTTGGCAAGAGTTGAGATTGATACCCAATCTTCCAATACACCAGCGAAGCAAGCTACTCAAATGAAAAGACTGAGAGTGACAAAGGGATTTTATTGACTAAACTGAATTGACGTATATGCCCTTAGAAAATTAAACCATCAATGGCGTATATCTAATCCCCTTGGAAATCAAAGCTATTTCTTGTCCAATCACAAGCACTTATCATTGGACTGATTCCGGATTATGCCAATGTATCTCCTTTCCATTTTAAAATATAGATCTGGCTTCTCGAATTTAGTTTTATGAGTGATAAAAGTAATATAATATCCAATATCCAACAGCTATGTGATAACTTGATTGTTATTATAGATAGATACATATTTGCGTAAAGCTTTGTAATTAGCTTTTGCCATAATATGAACACTACTTATTCTTTTCAAAACACGAAAATTAAAAAGTAATTAAGGTTCACTGAGTTTCCGATGTCCTTCTTTTGACCGGTTGTTCCACAGTTGCCCATTTTTGACTACTGTATAGAAAATTGGGAAATAATATGCCACACATTTCTATCAACTAATGGGAGGCTTTGGATAACTTATGAATTTACTTACGCTTGTTACCCCTCGTGGATCATTCAAGGTCTCTAACCATCGGTTTTTATCATCTCGCGCATCCCAACCAGGTAGTCTACACCTACCAACATGGCTCAGTCCACTTGTCAGTGACTTCATGGAATTGTGCCACGTTTTGGTGTGACCGCCCCTAGCTTTCTTTCAACACACTCCTACACCATAAAAAATGGCACGTCGGGGCAGTTTTTTTATTTTATTTAAACACATACATATTGGTACAAAGGGGCACCAGATATATATGCACCACACAAATCTCATTTGATTTGTGTGAGGACTGTGATACTACCCAGGTGCCCAAACTGAAGCAGGTGGTTTTATTAGGGGACCACACCTTGACCCTTTGACCTAAAGATCTGATCCACAAGACAGTGGATGTCCCATGGTAGCCGGTGACCAACAATTGATTCATACGCCATTTGTTCCATCAGGATATTGGAGCCCATGTGCACCATTGGTTTGGAATGGTGGTTTTCCTACTCCCCTAGGTGGGTGCGCCGTGTCCAGCAACCCGGTTAAAGTTCCAGACATTCGCTTTTTGTCCTCTCAATTTCGTGAACAATACCCACACCACGAGAAGGCAGTGAGTAGGACTTCCGTGGCAAGGGCTATATACGCGTGGTCATGTAAGAACATTTCGAGAGGGAGAGCTGACTCTCCCCACTCTCGGCCGTAACACGTGTCCCAGCCATCTCAACTGATGAAGTCCCACTACTTTATCAATCAATTTGCCATCCTTACCTAGTACCCGTTTCCCAACAACTGCATTACTTACTCATTGGCCCCAGGATATACGAGCAGTGTTTCGAAGACACTTATGATCGAATACTAGTAGCCTACGAATATCCTCTACCCTTACCGACCATGTACGTACATTTTTATTTAAAATTCTATAATGAAATTGTATATGTACCATTGGAAATCAACGATATATTCTATCTGTTCCTCAGAGAATAGTTTACTGATATAGGTTTTCTTACATTTACACCTATTCATATTGGATAGATAAATTTATTTGCTCTATGCACTTTGCATACTTAGTAAATGTACTGTGTTTAATATTGACATTATTATACAAACACTTCATAATATACTACTGTTATCAATATCAATCATTCTTATCTTGTTATGAATATAAATGGTTTAAATGGTCATAATAAACTATCATTGATAATTAAAATAAAGAAATATTTATAACTATAGATCAAAGTCTTTATTCTGAAAAATTATTATTGAATGCATACCGATTTACAGATGAATACAGAAAGCAAGTAAAGGACAGATGTATAATTTTAAATTATTTAGAATGATGTAGAATATAAACTATTTTAAGAGTAGACTCATCAAATGGATTACAATAGTGTGAGTCACTAGTTGGAACTTACTTACTTACTTACACCTGTTACTCCCAATGGAGCATAGGCCGCCGATCAGCATTCTCCAACCCACTCTATCCTGGGCCTTCGTTTCTAGTTCTGTCCAATTTTTGTTCATTCTTCTCATGTCTGTTTCCATTTCTCGGTGTAATGTGTTCTTTGGTCTTCTTTTTTTCCTTTGGCCTTCAGGACTCCATTGGAGGACTTGTCTTGTGACGCTAACCACTAGTTGGAAACTACTAATTATTTATCAATGGACCAGGTTATACTTTTGTACTGAATTAAACTGACCATATGAACAAAAAGAAGATATTTATTCTTATTTTAGATAGACATTACTGTGATATAACAAGAAGCATAGTTTTTTAATGATTAAACTTTGTCCAATCAATTTCAACTAATTTTTGAAATATGTGTTATATTTTTTAATAGATTTCAACGATGAATACTGATGCTAACAATTTCACTGGTAAACAGAATACTAATGATCTATCAGCCATATGCGTTCCCTTACCAAGTACTTGTCGAGTGAAATCACCCGTTCGATTGTTAGTTTTCTATTTTGAAATTTTATCAGAGCTTATGGAGTTAAAAGATCATGAAAATAAAGTAAGTCACTTAATAATCTTTTTATGTTTAAAAAAATGATTGAACATTTATATACTTTGTAACAATATTCATGCCTGCGGGAATCGTGAATGTGCACTGCTGAAAAGTTCTATACTGGGACGGAGCAGATGTTCATTACTTCCAGGTTTTCAATGGTTCGTGATTTCAATGAAATTCAAGGAGTTTCATAATGTTGTATTGAAAATATTTTAATAACTAGAAATGATTATTTAAAAACTATGCAATTACTTTCTTGTTCTTTCGAATATCACCTTTATTTTTACAGTACATACAGTATACTCATTTCATTGATCTTGGACATTCATTTTTGTTTTCCGATCGACTTATTTTATAGAAATTCTATTTTTCTATAACACAAACTATGTATGACATTGGTATGAACATTCAATGGGTGTATATTTTTTTAGTGATGAATAGGGATAGTTTATTTTCTTGATTTTTTTATAAATTCATATACACATATTTCACGAATTGTTATTCTAAACATCTGTGAATGAATACTATATACTCCTTTGGAAATTTGTTTCCTTATTTTCTTTGTTTTAATGTATTTACATAGAAATCATGAACCGATCAATGTGAGACTACCATTAAAAACTGGAAGCGGTGGACGGTCATTTCATCCTAGTATAGGACTCCGCAGCAGAGCGTATCCACAACAACATCGTCAGGGATCGAACCTAGGACCTTTAGCGTACACATAAATACCTAACCTTTAAGCCATTGAATAAGAATACAGCGGTGTTGATGTGAAACTTCGATCACTTCATAATATTGTGAAACCTTCATTCATTATCTGTGGCGGACAATTGTCTCATCCAACATAGCTGAACTCCATTGGTCAAGGCTTCTCATTAGAACTCCGAAAATTCGCTCTTGAAGCTAGTGAACATCGTGCATTGGCTGAAGTTAGACAGTAACACCGCTGGATACCGGCCCAATGGTCTAGAGCGTAAGAGTTCTTGCGCAAGACTGAAAATTCTAAGTTCGAATGCTGATGATGAGTCCCATATTAGAAAGAAACGACCGTCTAGTGCTTGAAGGTTTTAAATGGTAGTCTAACACTGATTGGCTCATGATTTTAATGAAATTTAACAATCTCCACAATCCTACATAGTTTTAATATAAAGATTTCATACATCTCATATTATCTTTCATGCAGAACAGTTTAATATGTTAAACTTAATTAGACACTATTTCAATTGTACTATATTATATAAATAGTCATTTTTAATATTTCTCTTCCATTGTTTAACAAATATTTCAATATGAATTTTATTCATATGCCCTGGTACGGCTGAGAGGGGGGAGAGTCCGTTCTCTCTCAAAATGCTCTCACATGGCCACGCGTATATAGCCTCTGCCACGGAAGTCCTACTCACTGCCTTCTCGTGGTGGGGTGTTGTTCACGAAATTGAGATGACAAAAAGCGAATGTCTGGAACTTTAACCGGGTTGATGGATACGGAAAGTTCACCTAGGGGAGTAGGAAAACCACCATTCCAAACCAATGGTGCACATGGGCTCCAATATCCTGATGGGACAAATGGCGTATGAATCAATTGTTGGTCACCGGCTACCATGGAACTGCATCTCCTCATGATGCTCCATTGCCTTGTGGATCAGACCTTTAGGTCAAAGACTCCGGGTGTGGCCCTCTAAGGAAGCCACCTGCCTCAGTTTGGGCACCTGGGTAGTATCACAGTCCTCGCACAAATCATATGTCTCTGGTGCCCCTTTGTACCAATATTTATGTGTTTTAAGAAAAATACAAATCATGTAACTTAATGGTGTAAATTAATGATTAATTTCAATTTATTATGTTCAATTATTAATTAAAACAATCACTTGGCACTTATTCTCATAATAGTCACTTTAAAGTGCTAAAGATCTTAAGTCAGCTGTTGTTTTTTCATAGTTTAGTAGAAAAACAAACGTTTAATTTGTTTACATTTTGGTCTGTGGTACTCAAATGTTGTGTTCATTTAAAATTAACTCTTCAATTTTAAAACAAATTAGCCGAGATCTCAAATGAAAATGGAACTTTGTTTCTTTTTCTCTGAAGTATGTAATGTTTAACTGAAGTGTGTTTAATGTTTAGTCCATAGAAAGACGCTTCAATCATAGTGAGCAGTCTATTATCGTTTCTTTTCAGCAGAAGATATAACAAGGGCTAGTAATACTATATCTATGACTTAGCAGGAAGTCACGTGTTCAGTGATCCTTTCCATGGTCATGATTAATATTACTGAAATATTATTGTTAACAATAATTCTAATGTAAAATAATTAATCCAAAAGCTGTGTAGTTTAATAGTATTCTTTTCTTATATACAAGATGAATGGGAATGAATTTTTTTGGCTTGAAATTGTAATGGTTTAATCGTTGCTAAATGTATCAAATAGGAAGTAAATTATATTGAATCGTGATACTCTATCTTAAAGTGAGCAGTGAAGTTCATCCAGGTCTGTTGTGTGATAGTAACTCATTGAAGACAATGGTGGATGTGTGGCTCATTTTCGTGGATTAGTTGAAGTTAGACATTAACACAGTTGGATGCCGGCCAGCTCAGTGGTCTAGAGGTTAAGCGCTCGTGCGCGAGACCGATAGGTCCTAGGTTCGAATCTCGCAAAGCATGATCGTATATGTGCATTGCTGAGAAGTCCCACAATAGAACGAAACGGCAGACTACTGCTTTCAGGTTCTCCTGGATGGTCTGGCTTCAATTGATCCATGATCTCAACTATTAAAATTTATAGATAATTTCAAATGATTTAAGAGTATTCAATTGTTAGATTTGAGTAAGAGGACAATAATCAAACAACATTTTATCAGTATTAAAATAAAACGTTTAGATCGATTCAGAGTTTAAGATGGATATAGTGAAATACTTTAATTTTTGTGTGACCTCTGTGAATTGGTGTCTGAAGGTTTTCACACCCCGGGCTGTTTACATGAAGGTCTAATACACAAGGAACTGGAGCAACGTCTGGAGATGCAGATACATGATATCCGGTGACCAACAATAGGTTCATACACCTTTTGTTCTCTAGGGGTTTTGGAGCTTATGTGCACCACTGGTTTGGAATTAGGGTTTTCCAACTCCCCTAGATGAACCTTCCATGTCCACCAACCCGGTGTAAACGCCGGACATTTGCTTTCCGTTCTCTCAGTTTTGTGGTCAACACGCCCGTCATGAAGAGTTAGTGAGTACGACTTCCTTGACAGTGTTTGTACACTCGTGGTCATGTGAGAACATTTCGATAACAAGAGCTGGCTCTCTCCACCCTCAACCGCACCAGGGCGTTTGGGGGCATAAGTATAATAAATCTGTTATAAGTATAACAGAATTATTGGAATCATGCATTTTTGATAGGGTATGTTGTACTTAAACTCGAATGTTTTTACTCATCGATTTGGCGTTTCACTTTTAAAGGTTAACTAGCAAGTAATAAGCAGCTAACGTTTTTTGTCTTTTAACAATAAAGAACATTTACAACGTCAGTTTACTTTACACGACTAATTTTTAATTATTTCAAGTAAAAGTACACAAAACACGCAGTTATGAATCAGACTATAAGTGCTACACTAGGGTGATCGTTGATATTGAATATTTGGATTGTAGTTTCAAGTAGAGAAATGTATAAGTTATATGTATACAATAAACAAAAACAAACTGAAGGGGTTTTAAGTAGAGATTTAATATTTTCATAGTTGCCAGCTGAGTAGTCAGTCGGTTAAGTTCTCTGGCGCGAGACTGGTAGGTCCTAGATTCGAATCTCACGAGGCGAGGTCATGGATGCGCACTGATGAGGAGCCCCACAATAGGATGAAACGGTCTCCAGTGCTTCCTGGTTTTCCATGGTGGTCTAGCTTCAATTGACCCACGCTTTCAACTATGAAAAACAAACTGGTCAAAACAAATGCCTATAATTCAATAAACATTGAGCTAAAAGACACAAAACAACTGTTTGAAGTCAATAGTCATAATAAATTGGTATATAATTTGTTGCATTATTGTCACAGTAAAAAGAAACAAATAGTCAAATGAAAACTTTACATTGTCTTTACAACAAATATGTTCAATGGGTTATATAGATTGTTAGTTATGACTATAACAAAACAAATGGTCAGGTGAACAACGTTTAATCATTCGCCTCTTAACAGTTAGTCTAACCCTAGCGTCCTGACATTATATAACTCCTAACCAAAAAAATGTTGAGATTTCTTAAGTTAACGAAATAATAAATTGTAAAATAAAACAGCCCCCAAATGCCCTGGTACGGCCGAGAGTGGGGAGAGCCCGCCCTCTCGAAATGCTCTCACATGGCCACGCGTATATAGTCTCTGCCACGGAAGTCCTAATCACTGCCTTCTCGTGGCAGTGCTATTTACGAAGTTGAGAGGACGAGAAGCGAATGTCCGGCGCTTTAAACGGGTTGGTAAACACGGAACGTTCACCTAGGGCAGTTGGAAAACCCTCATTCCAAAACAATGGTGCACATGGGCTCCAGTACCCTCAGGGAACGTATGGCGTATGAATTAAGCGTTGGTCACCGGCTACCATGGAATTGCATCTCCTCACGATGCTCCACTGCCTTGTTTATCAGATCTTTAGGTCAAAGGCTCGGGGTGTGGTCCCCTAAGCAAACCACCTGCTATTTTAGTGAGAAGGCAGAACAAGTGGAGTTCAACCTCGTCGTGTGTGGGAAAGATATCTGCTGAAGACAATGGTTGATGGTTGATCAACATTATGGATTGGTTGAAGTTAGATAATAATAGCGTTGGATGGTCATTTCAGCGGTCTAGAGGTTATCATTTTGTACTCAAGAGTGAAGATCCTGGGTTTGCTTCCCGTTTGTGAGTTGTTGAGTGCGCACTTTTGAGGAATCCATTACTATAATGAAATAGCTGTCCAGTGCTTCAAGGTTTTCAATGAATATTGATAATAATAATAGTAAAATCAGTTTGTGTTGGTGT